TATATATATTTATTAATGATGTGTATATACAGACAGAGTTAAGTGTTCCACTGATAAGCGGCCATTCAGACAGCATTTGTTTCCGTATTGCCTAATTCTTTACACAGTATTAATAATGTTATCTAACTCTCTATCTCTCGCTCTCTTTGTTTGTAGACCTGGTATGAGAGTTTTGTGGACACCATGAAATCGGTGTTTGATTTCTCGCTCTTCTTGGATAAAAAGTTTGCGCTCTTCAATCTATCGACATTGTTTTTGTTCATTTGGTAAGTACTGAATACTGAATACTGAATACCGAATACTGAGAGATCATTCATAATCCGAAGGTCTCAATCTGCGCAAGTCAAAATGTGTATTCTATATAATCTATATATGTATGTTTATATATAGGTATATGTATGAAATAGCAACGACCATAACGAGTCGCAAAGCTGCCCAAGTACAAATGTCGCAAACATTTTTGGCAAATGCTCAAAATATCGTCTATTCTAATGAAATTATGAACCCCTTGATGTGCCCATAGGGGTATTCAAGCATTGCTAAATACATAATTCTAAAAAGCCAATACAGCATTTAGTGATTGTTATTTTTATTATCAGTTTACTGTGCATTTTTCTAAAATACTACAGGGTACCGCTTAGTCCACTAATACAAAAATACAAAACTTTGTCTGACATCATATCATTCTAATCTCTTAATAAAACACTAAACTGACACGCACATCAAGTCGTTAGCCTAATAAACGTGTTACAGGGTATCACACGTCTGGTTTTGCTAACCGTAAAGGCAAACAAATTTTGTTATCTTTGTTGTATGCAATGTCAATTACCTACATCAAATAATATAACTAACTATATACTTTTTACAGGTTTATCATACCCTATCTTTATCTGCCCGATTACATGAAGACTTACAACTACGAGGTGAGCGTTAGCGCTGTGCTCATATCGGCAATTGGCATTGCGCAAACAGTGGGTATGATCGGCCTTGGCTACCTGGGCGATCTGCCCTGGATGAACATCAATATTTGCTATTCCATATGCATGCTGAGTAAGTTGGTATTATAGGTAGTAGATAAGGGAGATAGGAAATTATAGATAGATAATGAAAAAATCAGAATGGCCTCTCTATGTGATTTTTATAAATTCAAGCAAAGGAAATTTGAATATTAGAGCTCTTTAATGAATTATAATTTTTGCTTTTACAGTTTGTGGTGCTTCGGTATTTTTTATGCCCATGCTAATAACCAGCTACAATGGACTGATGACCATGTGTGTAATATTTGGATTCACTTTTGCCAGTTCGTTTTCGTTTACGCCCAGCATCTTGGTCAGTCTGGTTGATTTGGATGATTTCACTTGTGCCTACGGTTTGGTGCTGCTGATCCAGGGCGTTGGCATGATAGCCGGTCCGCCCATAGCAGGTGCCATTTTTGAATATACGGGCAGGTATGTGGTTAAACGAATTGAAATGATTTTAATTTGCACATTATTGATTATATGTATATATATTATCTATTGTCAACAGATGGGACGACTCCTTCTACTATGCGGGCATATTTATAGCACTCTCCGGCGTCTGTTCGTATATGATTGAGTTCTGTGAGGACAAAGCAACTAAGGAGAGTGATAGTGATGTCTCAGAGACTAAAAAAGCTCAACTTTTACATTAGATTACTTATATGAACACTCACACACATACAGTAGAAGAAAATGAAAACAAAATATATACATATATAATTCAAGGTACTAAAATTGACAAACTTCAGTGCAATTAAGCAGCACTGCGGCCTCAAAAAAACACAAAAACAAAAGAGAAAACAAAAGTTAATGGACTAGCATTAAATGTTATCAAGTTTCTTATGTCAAATGCTGTTGCAGCTAAAAAACAAAACAACATAAAACTCAAAGCGAATTAGTAGATAATTAATGAATTGTATGTAAGCAGAAAAGCAAACAAAAACAATTTGACTTGAAAACTAATTATTAAAACAACTATATTAGTTAACTAAAGCACTAGGACAACTACATTGTACGTATACTCCAATACCACACATTAACAACAACAACAACAACAAGAAAAACATTATATACTAATAAAAAGATCAAACTATACACATTATATGATTATAATAATAATATATATTCAATATATCAATTGCAGTGCATCACTGCCATGCGCAAAACGGGTTCCCCACATTGTCTTCTTTATTAACGCGAATAATAGTTAGAGATATACGTTCGAAAAGTAATATTCAATAACTAAATTATATACTAATCTAATATAAAAGAAATATGCCTACATTTTGAAAGAACAACCAAGAAATATACACATAAACTAAACCAATCTATGTAACGTATGCAATAAATTCAAAGACAATTTTTCAAACAATCTTAGCGAAAGTCTTCAAACAAATTGAAATTAACAATAGCTACAACTTTTGTAAATAGAGCAATGTTAAAAAAAAAAAAGTTTAGCACCCGAATTGCAAATGGTATGCAACAAGTTTTTATCAATTTTTGTCATTAAAGGAAAAAAAATAAATAAATAAAAAAAATACCGTAACAGTTCAAGTATTATTAAAAATATAAATCAATTGAGAGGTACACGTAGCGCACTGAGGACAATTTAGCCTATGCCCAAAAAGCAACTAGAATTATGTATTCATATATATAAAATAACTATATATGATAAAGCACATTTCAATTTAGTTTAAAACAAAATTAACTAACGCCTAATAACAACATCTACAGCTGTACTTGTTGTTTCTAACAATTTTTTTTAGACCTAAGCACAATATTTAGCAATTAAAACTATATAAAATTTAAAATGCAATTCTAAACTGTTTACAAACATCAATTAACTAAACATAAATCGCTATATACATTATATGCTAAAAATATTATTCAGCAAACAATTAAATAATAATTTTGAAAGATGAGAACCGAAAGAAAATAGTTTGTTTTCTTGGAGCTCCCTGTTTAAATAACAAAATCTTTGGGTTTGTATTTTTGTAATATTTATTGTGTATATATTAATATTATACTGCTTTGGGTCTGGCAAATACAAATGTTTATAAATAATTTGATTTTATTTCTGGTTTGTTTTCGATTTTTAATATTTTTAATTTTAAATATATATAAACTTCGTAATTGTCGGCGACATAATCGAATTGATTTAGCATTATCACCACGATTTGTTTTTGTGTTTATTTAGTTTTTGTTTTCTTGTATAATAATTATGTATTAAACTTATATAATATATATATTTCATTCTTTTGATGCATGTCTGTGTTATCTTTATATGTATATATCGTTAAATGTTATGCAAATCACACAAAAACAAATCAAATGCGACAAAATATATATATTAACAAATCCGAAACATATTAATGTTGTACAATGCAGTAGAAGAAAAGCAGCCACCACGATGGGGGAGGGGGTGGTAGGAGAAACGAGGGGTAGATAAACGAATCACAATGAGACAAATTCACATATAGTACGTTTATATAGAATATATAATATATGTATATGTATTTTACACGCCATTCATCAATTACTGCTCAGCCAAAATGTAACTAGCGAACTAACTAAATTTACACAAAAATATTTGTATTTTTTGTTTGTTTTGTTTTTTGTTTCATATATACGTATGTTTAAAGTTTACAAAATTTAGAAATCACGCACGACACATTTTACATATACAATTGTTAATCTGTAGTTTATTTAAAATTGAATTTAATGATGCATTTATGAATAGTTTATTTTCTTTTTTACTATTTTTACTATTTCATTTTCAGCGATTATTTTAGTTTTCTGTTCGTTCTGTTTTTTTTTTTTTAACATTACGCTTAGTGTCGATATCGTTCCACTAGTTTTGCGATTTAACTATTTCTTTGCAGCTAAGTTTATATTTACGGTTATTCTTTTACTTGAATAAAAAAATGAAAACAATAGGTCTGCATCCACTACCTTCTAAGAGTTAGTCACTAGTAGCTTTTACAGAAGCGGCTATCAGCTGTCGGCTACGGATATCCAAAGTGCAGGCAACGGCAAAAAACATATTACTCCTAGCAGCAGCCGCTATTAACCGCACCACCCGCACCGCCGGCGCCGGGTAGTGCTGGATTTGTGGGCGTTGCCTGTTGCCCGATTTTAATGCCATTTGCCTGGAAGTGGTCATAAAGCGATTAATCATATCATTTTTATGCACAATAATTCATCGTTTCATACCTCATTGTTTATGTCGAATACACCCTCCTGTATCTTCTCGTAAATCTCTTTGGCTGTATTTATGAAGGCCTCCTCCACATTGGCCGCCGTGCGTGCCGATGTCTCCATAAAGACTAGGCCATGTTCGCGTGCGAATGCCTCGCCCTCCTCCTTTTTCACCTCACGCCTCGAGTCCAGATCGCTTTTGTTGCCAATGAGCATGATGACCATGTTGGAGTTTGAGTGCTGACGCGCATCCTCCAGCCATGTGGTCAAGTGGTTGAAGGTCTCTCGCCTTGTGATGTCATAGACAAGCAGAGCGCCTGCCGCTCCACGATAATACGATCGTGTGATAGATCTAAATTACATATATTATTAACAAAAATTACATATATTATTATAATTTCTGTTTGTTTGCGAACGCACCTGAATGCCTCTTGGCCGGCTGTATCCCAGATTTGCAATTTAATTTGTTTGCCATCGATGGTGATCATGCGTGCGCCGAACTCAACGCCAATTGTCAGATCATGCACCGGCTGGAAGCGCTTGTCCGTGAATTGCAGCAGCAGACATGATTTACCAACGCCTAGAAAAATGTACAAAGAAAAACTCATTTAGTAATTGGTATACAATTTTAAACGCTAGGTGAAAGTTTTTTTTTTTTTTTTTATTTGTTAAAAGCAAAACAAGATAGCCAGACGGGCAGACCATTAAAATTATTCCACCCAACAAATAAACAAAGCTTTAAAATAGCTAGAGAAATAGTACTACATATATAAGTTAACAACAAATATATTTTTCAAGTTAAAAACAAAAATATTCTGCATTGCAACAAAACCCAATGGGAATTGTTGCAACACAAATAAAACGTAACAAGCTGATCAGACCAATAAGCCAAAACTGCTGACACCATGTCTAGCGGACTTCCTGCACACGCCAACCAGAGCTCCAGCAATTCCAAGAAGAATTGCACAACGGTTCAACAACACCACGAGCGACGCCGCTGCCAACGTCGTCGACTGAACCACAGCTTAGCTAGGGATAGAATTGATTTAAGTAATTTAGTTGCAAATTTGTTCTTCAATAAAGCGGACTGCATTTAAGCAGTGAAATATCAAAACATCTTATTTTTTCCCGTTTTAATAAAGAAAGAACTTAACTTATATAATTGTAGTATGGATCTTAGTAAATGTTCAAGCTAACTAAATTCATCAATAACAAAACAAGGGGTTCGGTACAAAAATTCGACTTTTCTTGAGGAATACCCATATATGAAATAGTTTCGAGCTCAATTGATTATTTGACTTGATATTTATTATAAGGGTTAAATAAACTGATATCTAATTGAATTTTGTTCAAATTAACCCCCATGAATTTATTATAGTAAAAACATTTTTTTACTGGATTATAAATAATGATGGTAATCAGGTAAACAATTCTGTCTATTTCAATTTTTTGTTATCTGACCAAAAAACATCTCTCAATATGCCCAACTAGATATAGAGTCACATTGTATGATAAAAATACCACTTAATAGGTTTTGTAATTCCCTAGTCAGAAAAATTATTTTAATATCGCTATTATGAAATAATATAATGATATCATAGGAATACCATATGCTTCTTATATTATATAAACCCCGCAAACATTAATCAGAAAAAAAATACTGTTTTAATCGAGAGCAACAAAAATATGCTAAATACCCTTATTGGAAAAAAAAATTCGCAGATAACAGCATGAAGGAAATCTGCAAAATCCTATACGAAATCAACAGCTGTTTAATTGCTGTAAATCAGAAGCTTTATCTGTGTGGTTACATGTATGTGTATGCATATATACATATGGACAGTGCTGATAAGCGGAGCAGAGTGTAATGAAATAGATATTTTTTGTTGTCTCTTGCAGACTTTATGGACAATAGCCAAAAGAGCAAAAATCATGCTAAAGTGCATGCAAGCAGAAGTTTGCCGATTTGGGGTTGTTGGGTTGTTGGTGGGTCGAGCAACGGTTGACTCAGCAGGCAGGCAGGCAGGCAACAGCAGGTCGCTAACATACGACCGACTGCTCCCCCTTGCGTATGTACACAGTAAGCAACTGTTAACTTCAACAGTGTGGAGTAACGCCCGCGCCTTTCTATGCCGAGGCGTTGTTATGGTTTTATTGATTTTTCCTTGCTGTGTGGGTTTTATCGTGGGCTGCATTGCAGCTGCTGCTCTCTATTCACTGCACTTGACGACTCAGACTTGAGATGCAGCCAAAGGGCAAACACACTATTTGAAACGCTACGCAGTTTGGCAGTTTTCGTTGCCTTTGTTTTGTTGTTGTGTTGTCTACACAATTCGAGCACTATAATTTTCACTCAGACACTGTCATATGGATATTTTGATCAGCACTCACCAGTGTCGCCAATGATAATATATTTAAACAAATACGCGTAGGACATGTTTGCAGTTAGTTAGGCTTTAAATTCTATAATAGATACTTCTTAAATAATTATGAACGCAGTTTATAGCAATAATAACACGCAATTTCAATCCGTATAGTTTTGCAAGCTGACTGATGATGACGACTGGTGCTGATTAACGATAACGATAAACATGCAGCCAGGGATGCAGCGAATTGGGAATGCAGAGTTGCCACTGTGTGTGAACAGCAGACTGCGGCCTGTAGACTAAAAACCGATATCGATAACCCAGCCCTATATGTATGTATGTCGTAGTTTTGTCAGAAATTTTCTCGCACAAAGCGAAGTGTTGTAGCTCAATTTGTAATTAATTAAATGTGAAATGTGTAAACGAAAATAATAACTAGCGTACTTAGTTCAAACTAATTACTGCATTTGACTAGCCAACAAACACAACGCCTGCGACTTGTAGAGCGCTTGGCTCCCACAGATTTTACATAGCTTCGTTGTCTACACAACTGCTGCTGGGCACCAAAAGTCTTACTGCCTGTGTCTGAGCGTGCGTGTGTGTGTGTGAGTGTGTGTTGTTTTATTCCTTCCTTACGGCCGAGGCAAGGTGAAACATGAAGATGGCTGACGGCTCGACAATATTGCGTAGGAACCGACCAGGCACAAAATCCAAGGTAAGTCATAAATTAAATAAATTAAATGGTAAACCTCGTTTACTATAACTTTCCCCTGTTGCACAGGATTTCTGTCGCTGGCCCGATGAACCGCTCGAGGAAATGGACAGCACACTGGCTGTGCAGCAATATATACAGCAGATGATCAAGCGAGATCCCTCAAATGTAGAGCTAATATTGACCATGCCAGAGGCCCAGGACGAGGGCGTCTGGAAATATGAGCATTTGCGACAGTTTTGCATGGAATTGAATGGGCTGGCTGTGCGGCTGCAGAAACAATGCTCACCCTCGACATGCACACAGATGACGGCCACCGATCAATGGATATTCCTGTGTGCGGCACACAAAACGCCCAAAGAGTGCCCCGCGATCGATTATACACGCCACACGCTGGACGGTGCCGCTTGTCTGCTCAATAGCAATAAATATTTTCCAAGCAGGTATGTTTGTTGATACACATAAAGCAACTAAGCCACATAATGAGTGAAGTGTCACGCTTAATCACAGAGTTTCGATCAAGGAGTCGTCGGTGACGAAGCTGGGATCGGTATGTCGGCGTGTCTATCGCATCTTCTCGCATGCGTATTTCCATCATCGTCGCATCTTTGACGAATTTGAGGCTGAGACGTATTTATGCCACCGATTTACACACTTTGTCACAAAATACAATCTCATGTCCAAGGAGAATTTAATTGTGCCCATTAACGAGGAGGAGAATGCGGCACCAGGCGAAAGCGAAGCCTAAAGAAGCAACAGCAGCAGCAGTAGCAGCAACAACAATAACAACAAACACAACAATAATAATAGGAACACCACGAACAGAAAAAAAAAAAACTAACAAACAAAAAAAGCATTAAGCATTAAAAAAATGATTGACAAACAAACAAAAAGAAATTGTTGCAATCATTCATACATACACACAACTCACTTAAACATATTTATAATATATATATATTTACTAATAGCTTGCATTAGATCCGAGATAAACGCATTATTATGTTTTTGGTTCTCACAACACGAACGACCAGAAACAGAGAGCAAGAAATGAAAATTTGAATTGAGCGGCATATTTAAGAAGAAAAACAAATAGTAAACAACTGAACAAAATTTATTTTGCAAATTCTTGTGTATGTAGTTCGAACGACAAATATATAAAAATCTATATAATTATTAACAAACGCAAACAAGTTGAAAAACAAAAATAAGGCAACTGTAAAACAAACGATGCGTCACTTGATTCCGTAATCGTTACATGATTATATATAAATAATTAAATTCTTATTTTAAATAAATTATATGTAGACACACTCCCATCCATTATACACGACAGATTTTTCCTTTTTCTTTTCCGCCCTCTGGGGCGGATCTCTGGATCCTCTCAATGAAATGGAAAGCAATTGTAACGAAAATGAAGTTTACTATCATAAACTATATACAGAAAAAAAATATTTAAAAAATGAAAGAAAACCCAAACAATTGCAATAAATCGAAACAACAAACTAATAATTTATTTACATATTTTAGGTACTTCTTCTTCAGTTTCTAGACAATGTTCACCTCCAGCATGCGCTGCTGTGCCACCAGACGCTCAAAGCCCAATCGACTGAGATCAAGTGTGGTATATTTTCCATCCAGTATTAGTTCGGCAATGGCTCGACCCACCGCTGGCGTCTGCTGTATGCCATGGCCACTGAAACCGGTGGCGATGAACAGATTCGTGTAGTGCGGATGCCTTCCAATGATACCATTGGCATCGAAGCAATTGTGATCGTAGTAGCCGGCCCAGCTGCTCTGCACCTTGACCGACTCGAAGGCGGGCACACGGCTGGCCAGAGTGGGCCATACATTGGACTCAAAGTAGCCATGGTCCACATCGAGGGTATCACAGCTGGGCTCCTCGTGATCTGCCGGACTGCGACCGCCCAGAAAATTTCCGCCAAGACCATCGCGCCGGAAGTAGGTGCCATCGGGATCCACAGTCAGAGGCGTGGCCAAGCCCGGACAATTGCGACCCTGCGTATTGAAAACGTAGACATAACGCTTGCGCGGCTCCACGGGCAACGGCACGCTCAGCAGCTCCTTGCCAGTGCCAATGTTGGCCAGCCGCGCCACCTGTCCGGAATATGCACCCGCAGTCAGGACACAATTATCGAACTTCACGGTGTGTTTACTGCCATCCGCAGAGCTAACCACAGCTGCAGAGAGCTGACCAGCTGCATCGTACTCAAAACCCGTCACCTCACCATTGGCGAACTGTGCCCCATAGGCGCGTGCCTGCTTCTTGAAGCCCATCAGCAGCGCCCACGGATCGAACCAGCCCTCCTTATTGAGCCCATAGCAGCCCAGCTCGATGCCGTGCGTGCTGAGCCAGGGAAAGCGACTGCTCAACGCCGCTGGACCAAGCAGCTCATTGCAGGCACCCAGCTCATTCTGCAGCTTGGAGTTGCGACTGAGGATCTCTGCGCCATTCGCGCTGGCCAAGATTAGATAGCCATGTGGCTGAAAGTTCAGTTCCACGTCACCCAAATGGCTGCGGCAGTCGGATATGAAATCGTAGCCAAACAGCGACATATTTATGTTCTCTGCCAGCGAGAACTGTTGCCGCACGCCGCCCACTGAGAGCACAGTTGATGCAGTCGTATACTGTGGAAGGGAGATAACGTCTTAGTATAGTATTAGTACTTTAGTAGCTCAACTTACGCCCGCATCCCGCTCCACAACCAGCACACTGAGCTTCTTCTGTTCGGCTCTCTTCTTCAGCCAATAGGCTGAGGAGGCGCCCATGCCGCCGCCTCCAATGATCAGAACATCGCAGTGTTTGGGCACCGCATCTCCGCCACCAACAGACGTCTGCGTTCCGCTCAATAATCGCAATTGCTGCTGCACTGCAGCTGTCCACAAGACACGTCCCAAGCGAAGCATTTTTCGCACTGATACTCAAACATCGTGGCAATTGAGTGTTATGGCACCGATTAGATTTCTCGCCGCTTATCAACTTAAGTAAATATACTACACAATGGTACAATACTACGATTAAATCTATCTATACAAATATTATAAAAGTGTAACCGGCTGACATTGTTGGTTTTTGGATTGAATACACTAAAATACGCAGAGTACACGCGATTTGTGATTGGGTAAAAATTTAAAGAAAAATATTTAAGTTTATTATTTAAATATTAACAATTATTTTATAGTTACTTTTTATTCTGAATATAGATTAAATTTTATTTATATATATTTTGAAATATATAAT